CTGGCGTACATTGAAACCAAGCGTCGTTAGTTCTTCTTTAATAACTTCAGTGGGGGTTGAGGAGTGTAAATTTCTTATCACTACTCGTAAAGCTCTTTCCTGCCTCAGCTGGTAAGTGTGAAAATTCGCATTTGTTTCTGATAAGTACTTCACTATTTTTCGGTAGGCTTCTGCAGAATCAGGTGTTATTTTGGTGTCATTGGTCCTGTTAAGGCATGAATAACTGCCAGAGCAGATTTTATTTAGTTGGGTGCATAACATCTGGAAATTTTTTATATTTTTCACAAATATCGGAGGAGGCTTTGGTTCTCTGGGTATTGCTGCAGACTCCATTACTTCTCTGTCTTTTTGAAGCACTTGGTAGGGGTTTGGAGTAAAGAAAGGCGATTCTTCAATCGTTTCTTGTGCAGACGTACCTGGTTGGGGCTGAGGTTCTGGTTCTGAAGTGTTCATTTTGGTCACTGGAGGTATTTCTCGTAGGCAGCGACGAGTCCTTTGTTTGGCTGGTGAGCTAACTCCGTCTGACCGAGACCTCTTGGGCACCTTACTGGCCATCACTTGCTGATCATACCGCATATCATAAGAAAAAATAAATAAATAAATAAAAAAAAAAATTTTTTTTTCTTTAAATAACAAAAAAAAAAAGGAGATGTCAACAGTAAATATCAACTGCTCTGATATACACTTTAACTGTATTACGTGAATAATCAGAGAGATTCCGCTATAAAATTGGCAAAAACTGAGAGAGGAGACAACCTTCGCATCAGCTCATTGGAATATTCTAAGTAAATTCTATAGTTTTACTCATTGTTAACTTGAATACTGCACAAGCATTAGTTAATGAAACACAAATGAGAGTGAAATACTAACTTGGGCTACTATAAATTAAAGAATTTTAATTCCAAGAATTAATTTAACATATTCTGACACAATACTACGACTTTCAAAGAACAACGTTCTTATTCATAGCTGCATTTGCTATGACCATAATCAAATCACAGGGTCAAAATTTTGGAAAATATGTGTATTAATGCGACGTACAGTAATTTCGCATGGACAATTATATGTAGCAGCAAGTAAAACACGTTCATTTAAAATATTGAAATTTATATTTTCAATGACAATAGGCAAGGCTGTGTACTAAACAAAAAAAGAATATTAAAAAAGAACACATTGTTTACATAGAAGTTTGGAATAAAAATGATTTAAAGTGAATTGAAATTGCTAATTTAAATTTATTTTTTACTTGCTTAATCATAACATTAATTTATTGTGATAATAACACATATAAATTAAATGTTTTTGACTGAGTCTATTTATTGTATTACTTATAAATAATTTTAAGTAGTTATGTTCGATTTTTGATTGAAATTGAAATTTTGTTTACATTAATAAATAAAGATTTTTGAATCGTGCTTTATTCTTTATTTATTTAATTTATTTTTTATTTAATTATATGTTTTCCTCCAATGTTTAATGATTATGGTCGAATTTCGACCACTGGGCGAACACTAGTACTTTTAAATCGCCTGCAATATTTATAGTAAAATGTTTGATATAAACCGAAAGAAGGGTGAACTCAATTTAGCCTGACCTGAGGAGGTGAAAGAAGAGGAGAATTAAGCCACGGAAGAGCGATTCGCTTTGTCGGATAGATACTCGCTGAAAGGCCCATTGTCGTGGGCAAGCTAATGGGGGTGGAGAGTTACTAATCCCTAGCCACTTACTTTTTGTAACAGTTCTTCGCCAACCGAGCTCCATTACTCTTTCCTCAGGCTGTCCAACACCGTTCCTCAACGCTGTGACAAAGCTCCTATTATAGCCCCACTCAGGAGTAACTCACAAACCTGAAGAAATACAAAAGCTTCACCTTTTCTTGCCTCTTCTTGAAGAAATAATGCGAAAGTATATGTAACAACAAGCAGTGATCACTTTCTGGGAAACCGTACAGTTTTACTCTAAAAGTTCTGCTGAGGTGGAAAAAAACTCGATGACAGGAGGTCGTTGGAGGAAACAAAAGGCAAAAGCGTACCGTTTACCAGATGTTTCTCCATAAAGCGAGGTTTCGTCCAGAGTGGGATTAATATCGTTTTCAGAGAAATCAGAACTCCTCAAAAGGTTCTCTTCATAAATTTAAAAACAATTTATTTGGTAGAAGAATAAAAGTAATTGATAAATTTAAATAATAAACTTTCCGCACAATATTCCTGAGTAGGCTGGAATGAAATAATAATAATAATATAACAAATGAAATCAAATAATAAATCAAGTCATCTTTATTTATTTCTTTACTCTAATGAACTCACGGACGAAAAAAAAAAAAAAAATTCTGCACAGAATAAAATAAGTACTCGATTACAGTAATGTTAATAAATATATTTTTTAATATTTAGCTATATCTTGTCATATGTGTTGGGTTGCCAGTATCGGTAGTATCTTAGAGATGAAAATGGTGTAGTGGAATATAAATTTTAAAAAAGTCTGTCTGATCATGAACATATAGCTGGCTTATTGCAAATAGACATAAGTATCATTTTATAAAATATAATCACTAAATATTTTGATAAATTTACCATTTATGAAATCAGAACATTTAGTGAAACTATATTTGATTTATTAAAAGGGTAGTACAATTTTAATGTACCTAGTGAGTTTTTCTAACGATGCATTTTTTAAATTTCTTTAGTGGATTAGATTACATTTTGTACTTAAGTACGTATATTGAAATTAACAAAGACCCTCTTAAAATTTAGCTTAATCAAAAATATACTTATAAGGTTACAGGTATACACAGTCTGTGGGTCACAGATTTCAACCATTTTTGCTTCCTCACTACCGAACGTAGGGAAGCATCGTATTCGAAAATTTCCACTCGCGTTTTACGTTTCAGACATCAAGGATCAAATTTAGTTCGGTGTCCGTGTGTCTGTAGTCAGATCGATGTAACGAACATATCACCTACTACCGTTTATCCGATTTTCATGAAATTTTCAGGCATTGTGCGTGTTGGTGTCTTGGTGTGGTTGGTCCCATATTGATTGAATTAAAACCAGCACTTCTGCTTACGCACGCACAAACGCATTTTTGTAGATATGCCAATAATTCAGAAACCGCTCGTCCGATTCGGCTCAAGGCTTCAAAAGGTAGGTATTTGTGAAAAAATAATGTAGGACCAATTTTATTGAATTCTGTCCATTACTTTCTCTAATATATGAGCAATCGTGTTTTCATTGATACGTCTATATATCTAAAATCGCAAGTTTGATTTGGCTCAAATTTGGAAGGAATTTAGGGATTGGTAAATGTAAAATGAAATAGGCGTCAATTTTATCAAATTCTATCTAATACTCCAACAAAAATGCTTCCGCTTTCTGTGGAAATGTTTTACTTGATATGCCTATAGTTTGAAAACGGCGCCTTTGATTTGACACAAACTTGGAGGAAATTTAAACAACAGTGTTGAAATTACTTAGTATCAATTTAATTGAATCCCATTTAATAATTAAAATTAATATAAATAATTGTTAACAATATAATTGCTGTGAAATGTGGAGGGCACTGATCATATGGAATGGGTGTTAGGTTATTACAATGTTATTATGGGGTTATAAAATTTTAGGTTTTATTCAAAAAATCAATTTATACTGTATTGTTTGTTCGATTACAAAGGTTACTGGTTATTGGCATAACCACTTGTATAATTATTGGCATATCTACAAAAATGCGTTTGTGCGTGCGTAAGGTTACTTACCAGCGTTAATTAGATTTCATGTAATTTTGAAGTAATTTTTACTCTGAATTTGTAAATAAAAAGTCTTATTTGTGATTGTGTTTATTTTCATTTCAACCAGTTCGTCGTTGTCTCGATTTTCTTCTTAAATATCAAAATTGTGTCAAGCTCACTCATTTTAGTCTTGTTTTCGAAGATCGGGCTTATACCATTTCGTGTAGCACACAGAGGGCTAAATTCCTATTAATTTTCATGTATATCGGTGAAGCCATTCTAACTTAGTTTCTTCCTAAAAAAAATATTTAATCCATATACCAGACTGAATTTGAATTAGTTGATGTAACTTGACTCTTAAGTCTATATACAGTTATGTGAAAAGTCTTCGAACAAACCAAATATTTATAAAAGTGATAAATGAATCAATTTAAAATTGTTTTTATATTCTTTTTAATTCTAAACTGACTTAACCTCGCAGACATTGTAGATGAAATATACATTTAAATTAGGATTATTTTCAATTAACAACAAGCCAAGAGATCAATCCATTGTGTTGACTTATTTTTATCCCCTGAATATTGCAATCTTATTGTTAAAATTTATCCACTTTAATATTTATTCTGTGTTGTTAACATCAAGAGCCGTTGTATAAACCATAGGAAGCTGAATGTATTTGTAAAAATTGTTCTAATATTTTAATTTTTTGCGGAAATTTTATTTAACATTTCATTTTTATAAATTATTTTCTTTTCAATTAAATGTTACTCTTATTACAGAAAATGGCAATATATTTTTGGGTGAATAAAATTTGTAGTAACATTAGTATAAAAAATGTATATGTATACTTATTTGAATGCTTCCAGATGTTACAATCCCGTGTAACTGTGATTTTGAATTTCCTAAAAATCATTGAACTTAAGAAGAATTCAATGGTTTATTTTATTTTTAAATTATTGCAACGGAAAATATATTTAAAAAAATAATTTAAATGAAAAGATGAATGAATTATGGTATCATCGGTTCACACGGCCAATTATCTTGTCGAGCATATACATTCCTCAACTTTGTAGTTTATGCTCAAATTTTTTGATAAGAAATATGAATTTATTTTTCATATCTAAAAGACTTTAGAAACTTTTACCCATGAAGAAAATATGTTTGATAAATAGGTATCTATGATAATAATATGTTTTTACTAGCTCCCTAGGATTAGCTTATTTAGTTGTGTGTTGTGGCTGCAGGAGAAACGGAGCCTCCGTGGACATAAAATGTTTAAGAGGCTAATTTTCCTTCAACAGAAGATATTTGGGACCATACCTTAATCGTGAGTACTTTCATATCAGTACTTAAGTGTTTTTGTGACATTATTTCTTCTTCACCGTTACTGAACGAATGGAGTTACTATTTCTGCATTTTGTTACTTTAAGCAATTTTCCCGACTGTCATACGTGAAGATTTTTAATAATAATATCTTTGAAATAGAATCAATTACATAATACATAAGTTGTTAGAGATAAATAAGTCAAAATCATTTTAAAAATATAAGTCAAAATAATTTAAAAACCAAACAAAGTTGCCTAGTTTATTTCATATACTGATATTTCATTAGTTTATTTTATTTTTTTCTATTCCCAATTTTAAATTGTTATGATTTCAAGCTATTTGACTTAAGCATTCATAATATTATGTATAAATGGTACATGTAACTTTGGAATTAATATTTAATTATTTTTTAATAACTTGCTTTACCTTGTTTTCCACAGATATATATGTATATATATAACCTGATGTACGTTACATTTAAATATTTAAAGAACAGAAATTCAATTAAAATATTTAATATCTATTTGCATATTAAAATAAATGAGTGCAAAAATATCTTTACTAGAGAAAATAAAATATATCTAAAACCTGAAGATAAAAAGTATCGCTCTGTAGAAATGTTTATTTTTTGTGCAGTAATGTGATTATTAATATCATTTGTTTATGAATACTTTAATGTCATCAATTTCTCCATGTTTTGTTCTGATTAGGACAAATACTCGAGGACCGAGCCTTGCTGGAAATTTATTTAATTCAATTAATTAAAGTTGATAAACATAGATTGACAGCCATGTAAAGTGGTCAGAAAAACATAAAAGCAGCTAAAACTATGAAAATATTTAATTTATGCAAGATGCATTATATTCTAAATATATAATAGTGTTGATTTCACAAGAAGAACAAGAAGGGTTGACTTCTTCAGCGACAACTTTATAGTTCTATAAATAATTAAAATATAGTCGTAGAAGGAAATCGACAGTGGCAAAAACGAAAAAGTTTCAACAGCTTAGTCCGAAAAAAAAAAAAATATTTACTTTTACTTCTGTATTTATCAAAGTTCTCATTTTAGTCAAAGTATTTTGGAATGTAAAGGTTGTGTGATGCGGGTTACACTCCAGAATTTTAGATTTTGTTCTATCTGACTTTTACAATGTGACTGTCGGTCTAGAAGTTGTAAGTACAGTCATGAAATTCACAATATTTGTTTTATTTTATCAAACACACAACGTTATCAATGCTATAAAAATTTCTAAGTATATTAATTACACTCTGATACCTACCTATTAAGGTTGATGCGAAAATATGTTGAAAATTTGATTATTTTCACTAATTTTCTTAAATTAAAAAAAAATTATAAATCGTATTGTTTTTTCGTTGTAACCATGTCCAATATCTAATACCAACTCCTTAGCATCTTTTCTTAAAAAAAAATAAAAAGTTTGTAACAGCTATGTCATAGTCACAGTCATAATTTTCAGGATAAATTCATTCCGACTGTAGACATAATCAAAAGGGTGTTTCATTGCATTTTCAATAGACAATGTAAATCAGAATCTACCTGAAGTGATTTCTGCGGATTTTTTTTTTTTTAGGCGCATTTTGTACTTTTTTTATGGGAAGTTAATGAGATTGAGCCGTCAGGCTCGCATGTGTAACGTTCATTCGGGTAAAATCGGCTCGAGTCGACTACTTGAAGTGTATTTGTCTATAGATTAAAATATCTCAGAAACTAAATCTTTCATCCTCCTTTTAATGAGCTATTATTCAAAATTTTAACTTGACGCGACGTAGGGTTTGAGAGACAAAAAGGGAAGAAAGTGTTTTCAACCAAATGGTAACGAGTTTTATTGAAGATATTGAAGATAAAATATTTCAGAAACTAAAAATCGGACCTGCTTACAGTAAGCGAGGGAAATGTTCAGCATTTCGTTTTCTTTGTAATGAGCTATAAATCAAAATTGTATGTTGACATGACACCGAGTGAGAGTCGGAAAGAGAAAACGAAAGCGCCAAAAAATCAAATAAGAACGACTGATATGAACTAAAGTATCTCAAAATTTAAATACTGTGGAGAATTCAGAAACTGATTTCAATATGTATATATTCAATTCAAAGAGTTTTGACAAATTAATTACCCCCGTCATAGAAGTTATATTTAAAAAAAAATACGGAGTTTTTGGTAGATATTTAGCAAATATATTTCAATATAAAGTATTCATCACATATTTCAGCTATCGTAAATCTACTGTTTCATTTTTAGAGAATGATACAAATGACGATAAGTCAGAGCAAAGTTTACTACAGTAATTTATACACACTGGTAATTGTATATATTGTAAATGTTATTATTTTGTGAATATAGAAAAAAAACTAGTTTATACACAACTATAATTATATAAACTGTAAGTGTTATTACTTTGTGTGTATAGAACAAAAAAAAAATATATATATATATATATAGTTCATATTATTAATCTTGCCTTGCTGATGTTTTCATTAAGGTCTTAAGCACACACCTTACATTTTTTGTTGTTATCATTCATTATTTAAAGAAATTGTATTATTTTAATGTGTTTTTTTTTTTAAACTAGTTGCCTATAAATGATGAAGCTTTTCAAATTTCGATTCTTTGATGTAGTCTAACAATGAACTGAAACAAATGTTTACAATACAATTTCATGGTTAAAAAAGTTTGACAGTAATGAACAAAATATATTTATGTTTACAGTAATTAATCATAAACTAGTAATGAACTTTAATTTGATCCTTTTCTCATACTTTATTCTCATCTCCAATATTTCAGACTATCAAGTGATATATATATATATATATATATATATATATATATATATATATATATATATATATATATATATATATATATATATTCTTTTCATATTTATTTTATATCCTTTATTTTTATTTTTTCGTTATTATCATAATTTATATTATATCCTGATTTATTATCATTTATTTATTTTTATTATATTTTTATTTGGATTTACATTGTTGAATAAAATGAGATCTGGAAAACGCTTAGCATTAATATTTCTAGACGTTAGCCAGTATAACAGTAAAATAGGTAGAATTTTCACTTGAGTTAATCTGTTTAATTGATTGAATGATAAAAGTTATTAGAATATTGTTTCAATTCTTGACTGCACGAAAATACCCAATGAATACTTGTATAGCTTTCTGAATTTTGATAACTTTAAAATGTTTATTTGTTTTATTTGAATAGAATTTGTATTGTTTGTTTATAAAGAAAATGTTGAATTTGCCTTAGTAGTTCATGATTTTATTGGAACAATGGCCTTTAAGATGTTAATGAATTAGTCGAAAATCCTATATATTATTTCTAAAAGGTGTTTTTGTCGGTACGCCATAACTTTGTCAATTCTTCATCCAATCCAATGATTAACCACTCATTTTGAAGTTATTCTTCTCCTTCACATGCGAAAAATAGTCCTATCCCACCGAAATTTCTGGGAAAAAAGTTATTAAGGAAAAGAAACTTGATTTTCGAATAACTCAAAAAGTGTGCATTTTCTTTTTTCATTCGAAAGATTACTAAATTACCTACAAAAAAAAAATCGTCAAAATCGATTAGAAATATGTATAATTTAAACAATTCCTATTGACGGAAAGAGTAAAGAGTGTTGAAATATTTTTTAAGCAAAAACAGAGTTGATTTGTATTTTTTCTGCAATTCTTTTTTTGTCTACAAATTTGACATAAGACACCCCCTTTGATTATATTTCGAAAATCACAAAATTTTTTAAAACTTCAATATTCTTCTACCTATTCACACGAAATTTTACAGGGATATAGGACCTTATAAAGTAAACGAAATGACACAAACTGTAACTTCCTAAATAATTTAGAACTCAAGTTATAAAATAAAAACCTGTTAGGAGTTTTTATTTATTTATTCCTCTTGGACGTGTTAAATCAACAAGCTATTTATACGGTCTTGAAGAGCGATAATTCAGATTTCCAACGGTTGTAGAAACATTGAATTAGAATAAAATTCTGAGGAGTTATGGATGTTTTAGTTAAAGGCAGGCAAAAACATCATAATGAAAAGTGAAGTCGTTGCCATGGCGACTATCTCAGCTCAGCTCTTCTATCCTATATATTATTTCTAAAAGGTGTTTTTTGTCGGCACGCCATAACTTTGTCAATTCTAAAAAAGTTATGAAGGAAAAGAAACTTTATTTGCGAATAACTCAAAAAATATGCATTTTTTTTCTTGCATTTTAATTTTAGAAAGATTGCTAAATTACCTACAAAACAATAAAAAAATTGGTCCTAGCAAAGCAATTTGTATAAATATTTTGGTCTATTATGTTTAATGGAATATTGTATTCGACCAAGGAAATATTAATTCCTTCCTTACATAACACATAGCAACTATTTATTTCCATATTGTTTTGCTATTTCTTCACTAAAAAAAATTTTCGTACGGGCCAACTAGTATTATTTATTTGTGCTTAATCTTAAATCAGTGAATAAAATGAGATTTTTTCGATCAGTTACTTTACTTTTAATAAAGATCTTTTTTTCTTAACCATCTTAATTCGTTTTTTGGTCCTCAAAATCTAAGAAAGCAAAATGATAATGTATAGCTTGTTTGTAACTTTTTCTATCTGGTATAAATGAACAATATTCTTTTTCCTTGTATAAAAATATCTTGAAAAATTATTTGTAAGAATGGTAGTTCATTAGCGAGAAGGGTGAGAACGTTATGATTGAGTGCGGTAAATGGATTTCTAGATTGAAGTGCCAGCGAGCAGTGGTGGTCGGAGTGAGGGGTAGAGCCACCCAAGAGATTGCTTGGAGATTTACAGTCCCTTACGAAGCCAGCTGGTACTGTAAGTTATGTCGGGGTAATATGGCTCTTTACGAGACTATCTCCAGTATCGAAGGCCCCTCTCCTATCTAAATCATATCAAGGATTAATACGTTCTAGGTTCGTGTTCCCCAAGCCACAATAAAACC